TCTTACCTTTCCATCCATATAAAGTAGACGTAAATTCAAGATCTATAGCTCCAGATATGACCAAAATACCGAACAATATTCTAGTTTTGACTGCACCAGCATCTCTTTTCTAAGTTTAGCCATCTCTTTGTCATTTAATTTCAATACTTAAACTCATCAATTAATCCTTTTATTTACGTCTTCAATACTTAAACTCATCAATTAATCCTTCTATTTACGTCATAGGCCTGCATTTAAGATGAACATTTACCACAAATTAAAAGTATCTTATATTATTAGATATATTATTATAAAACATGCTTTAGTTAAAGAGTTATTGATACTTTAAGTGCAAAATGATGATATAAAACCTTGATAAAAATATACTTTTAAGTATTAGTCATTTAGCGCCTTCTCATTTTGGTCCTTGGTTTCAAATTTTTTGATTTAACCCCGAATTGACCATTAAACTTTCAAATCTCTTCAATTTCACCCCTGATTTCAGCCAATTGAGTCCCCAGATTGATAACCAAGAGCTTTTAAACTTGGCCCATATCTTCCAATAACTTCAACCATCTTCATAAAACTTTTGAAATGAGTGACGTTGAATGCAATCACTACTTGATAAAAACAAAAGGCGAGCTATATATTAAATTATTCTAGCTTTCGATTCTTTATCATAATCATCATTTATGCTTATTTGCCTCAAATTGACTTATTGTCTCATTTTGGGATCATAAACAAATTTATTGGTATCTAGCCCTTTGCTTTCTTTCCACTATCTTGTCAACCATTTTCTTTACTTGCTCTTGTACTAAATGAAGTTAAACATATCTCTTGTGCTATATCATTTTCTAGAGCTTTAAATTCATCAAATTTAGATGGGTGATCATATGATGCAACCTTTTATGTCTTCTTTGCTTTCATGTAAGCTTCTAACTCCTCATTTACTTCATTTCAGGAAGACATTTATTACAAGCTAGAACATTTTTATATGTTCTAATTTGATATTGTTTTGCTCAAAAGATTCCGCCCTTCAATGTTTTCTCATAGAATTTACATGTGATAATCTTTGAATTATTAAGTTTTTTTTTAAAAAAAAAATTTATACTTCTATGCATATCTCTCTTGTTAAACATGATTTTAATGTTATGAATACATGCTAAGTACTAGGTACTAACTAATTTAATTAATTTATAAATGAACTATGAATGTGGGTACATGAAATCAACTAAAATTTAAAAATCACAGCAAGAACAAAGAAAAAAAAAACTAAAGGTTAGAAATTTTAGTAGCATAATACCATTAAAATGTATATGTAAAAAGAAAAGAAATTAATAACATGAAAAGATAGAAAGAAATAGAGTAAAAAACAGACTATAGAAGAAAGAAATTAAGTGATAAAGAAACAAAAAGATGAAAAATAATAAAATATGGAGCACTAAATGAAAAAAATAAATTAAAGTATTACTTGTTCTGTACTTCTATTGTTCTTTGGCTTTGTTAAACATTAAAGTTGAAGAATGAAAATGTGCATAATACTTATATTCTAATATTTCCTTTCTAGTCTTTTTCTCTCATTTTAATAATTTTTTTATTTTTTACCCTAATCTTTGCTTTAATTTTTTATTTTATAAAAATTCTTTGTTTCTAGATTAAAATAAATAAATAACTAGCTAAAAAATGATGTTTTTTAAGCTACCTAGCTTTTACACTTGGCACCGACTTTTTAGGTGCTTGTCTAGGCAAGCACTTCATTCAACTTCATTGTTGGAGGCTAATAAAGGCATTGCACCCTTTACTGTGGCCCTTCCAACATCATTAATATAAAATATTATTTTAAAGAGATAATTTGATAAAATAAGATTTTAAATAATATAAATATAAATTTTTTTATTATGTATATTTTAATTAAAAAAAACTATTTAGAAAATCAATTCTATTAGAGTGAAATAAATAAGTATTTTATTTTTTTAATGATTTTGATGTTATTTATTTTTTTACATTGCTAGATTTAATTGGCTTATTTTTTTGTTGGTCCTATTTTATTAATTTAGGTTTTTTTAAGAGATATATAGAAATAATATTTATATATAAAAAAAGATATTTTAACCTTTTATTTAGCTTTCCCCTTAAATATAAAAAATAAATAAAAAAATTAAAATATTATTTTTGAATTTTTGATTATTTATTTAGCAGCTCTAAGATGTTTTAAGCTAGTGTCGGAGTACCTTTTTACAGCATGTAATTATGAGGCAATCGTTAATTTAGAATTAGTGAAAATATTTCGATTTCAGCTTCAGTTGGTTCATCCAACCTGAGTCAGGGTACCTGGATTGTTTAATAAGGTTATGTGTCAACCATTTTAAGCATTTCCTACCACCATGCCCTTGCATATTTGCACTGTAATTGTAGGTCTGCCAGACATCAAACAGTTACTTTTACAAGACCATGTCAGAGCTTTCTGCAGTGCATCATGGGAATAAAATGTCATATTTGTCCCAGGCAACTGAAATCAGCAGACCATTTTTGGAAGCCATTCATGTAACAAGATTCCAGTTCATTTCCGCTGCAGCCACCTTCTTTGAAGAATCAGTACCTCGTATGGAACTATGAATTGTGACTGTCTCCAGTTTTAAATTACATGTTGATCGCAATGGAAGAAGGATCTCATTTCCTGCTCATCACATAAACTTTTTAATAACATTTTTAAACCCTACTCAACATGTTAATTTGTTAAAGTTTTAAATCACATTGTAAAAGAGTTTTTCTAATATAATTTAGTAGATTTCACAGGTTAAAAGAAACTTAAATGATTGATAAAAATATAATTTAATTTTAAAAATATTTTTAAAATAATATCTTTATTTAGAAATATTAAGATGATAATATATTAGATTAACAAAGATCAATTTAGATTAATTTGTTAAATCTGTAATTGGGTCATAAACTTCATTGAATTTAATAACTTTGTTTTTTAAATTATTTTTATTTAATTATATAATAAAAAATATATAATTGCAAAATCAAGTATCAATCGACCGAGATGTTTTTATGAGACCACGATAACTTCATAAAAAAATTAATTAAAATAAATCATGAAGCTTAAAAACCCAATGATTATTTTTTTTAATAATTTTTTATTTAATAATATGATAAAAAAAATATATGCTAAAAAAATCAAGCACCAACACAATAATAGTATGTTTTTCTAAGATTATAATAACCCTATAAAAAAATTAAAATAAATCACAAGTCCAATTCATAGTAATTATATTTTATTTAGAACTATTTTTTATTTAATAATATGATTTAAAAAATATAATTATAAAACTGAGCATCAATCCAATGCTGAGATATTTTTTCAAAACTATGATAACCCTCTTATAAAATACCAAAATTAATAATAAAAATTAATTTTTAAATGTGTTTTTGAAACTATAATAACTTCGCATAAAGAAAATCAAAATATATAAAAAAAATTACAATTTACAATAAAACTCAATGTATGTAAATGAAAATAAATTAAAAAAGCAAATAAGAAAAAAAAATAAGAAAAAAACAAAAAAAAAGTTCATGTTATTGTTCATTCAGCAGAGAGAGCAATGATTTTGACTTTTAGCTTTTGTTAGGGTATATTTGATATTATATTTTAAAATTATTTAAAAAAATTAAAAAAATTTATTTTTTATTTTAAATTAATATATATTTTTATGTTTTTATAGTATTTGATGCGCTATATTAAAAATATTTTTTAAAAAATAAAATAAAAATTATTTTAATATATTTTTAAATAAAAATTAATTTAAATTAACTGCAACTTCTATACTCGAGCTACTTCAAACTTCGAGTAGTCTGATACTCGTAAGCACATCCAAATTAATGATGGACACATTTGCATCGAACCACTTCAAACTTCCATCGGTGTGTGTTTTGTAGGAAGGCAGTATAACTTTAGGCACGCTAGAACACACGAGATAGTGACTTTCTATATCATCTACTTACGAGCCATTATTTGCGATCAAAATTGCAACCCTCAGCGGTTGAAGAATCATCATCGATTATCAGGCTATAATAGTGATTGGGTGTTCCTTGTCTCCAACAAGCAAGATTTGAGATCCTTCTTCCATCACCATCACACCATCTTCGTTAGCACTGCTGAGGTGCTCACAAGAGCTCAACTCATAATCAATTTCAGTTTTCTCTCCTGCACCTAATTTCACAGTTTGGAATCCAACCAACTTTTTGATTGACCTCCCCTTTCCAGGCTTTGCGTGCCTCGCAAAAAGCAACACAGGATGCTTACCTGCCATCTGTCCCTCGTTTTTAACACGGACGGTGACTTTAAACTTAATATTTTCACATTGTTCTTCACCAATGTCTGAAACTAGCTTGCATCCAGGAGTCTCAGACTGCTGATTGCTTGAATCTTTCACGTTCTGGTTCTGTGCAACAGAGGCAAACGCATAAGAATAGTCTGAGTAGCTGAGACCATACCCGAATTCGAAAACCTTCTCCCCTTCGTAGAATCTGTAAGTACGGCCAGGATTTCCTGTAGATGGTTGAGGACGCATTCTCATGTCTGTCATCGATACTTTGGTGAAATCTTGGGGATACCAAGTCATTGGTAATCTCCCTCCTGCATTGCAGCAAGATGAACATCATTCAATTGAAAATAATTTAGCAGTAGAATATGCACCGCCTCTTTCTAGTTGAATTAAGGACCAAATTAAACTGTGCAAGCATCGTAATACTTCACCTGGGTTGTGCTCGCCAAATATAATTTGCGCTAGTGCAGTTGCTCCAGCTTGACCTGGATAACCAACCCATAAAATGCTCCCAATTTTTCGATTTTTCTTTGCAAAAGTTACATCCATTGGACTTCCACCAAGAAGCACCAGAACGATCGGTCTTTTGGCAGCTTGTGCTACAGCAGTTATTAGCGTTGGCTGCTTCCCTGGGAGCACCAAGTCCATACGATCAAGCCTCTCCTTCTCTTGACTTTGATCCAGTCCCATTACTAATATCACTTGATCTTCCGTTTGTGCCATTTCTACCGGTTTTCTTCTTTGCAGCTGAAGTGCACGAAACATTATTGCAACCTTTGTCATACGAGGCAGAACTGACATAGTTAATTCCGCAATCCTTCCAATATCGTAACATTTTTGCGGGCTGGATCAAAATAATTTCCAAGAAGGTTTGTAGAGATCCCTGATTTTGAAAGCGGAAGAAGCCTATCAGCATTCTTTAGCAGGACAATGCCATCTAGAGCTGCTTCAAGGGCTAGAGCCTGATGTTCTTGGTAACAGACTTGGTCTGGACCAATATCGCTGTAGAGCTGTTTGCTGGGATCGCCATTGAATAGTCCTAATCTCATCCTCGTAGAGAAGAGGTTGTGAAGGGCTCTGTCTATTTCACTTACTGTCACTTTTCTCTTTTCAACAGCTGATTTGGTGTAGTTCCTCAAGTAACTAACAGGGAAATCTTTTGATCTTGCAGAGGTTGAACATTCCACATCCATCCCTGAAATTCGTTCTCTAAGAGATTAGAAGACAGGAACAAGCTACAGTTTGTTTGTTTTTTTTTGTATTCATTTCGTAAGTCGTCTCTCTGAATTCGGAAGTTGACACAAGTTCTTTTACCATGGCTGTTGCAGCTGTTTGATTGGTCCTTTGGTGAGTCACACAATCCTAGCTCATTCTACTGTGAAGCGCGACAGTTCCTTAATGTGTTAATTATCACAGGAAAAATGCAAGGGATACTTTTCATGTTTAGACCAGTTAATTTTAGCTTGGCCTAAACGAGATGCCACTTAGTAGTTCATACAATCTCGAGGCAATTCCTTTCCTGGGATTTTCTTGACGACTATATTGCCCAGATCAGCAGATACTCTGAGAATTTCCACTTGTGGACCCCATTATTCTTTCCTTCATTGAACATCTATACCAACCACCTCTTTCTTATTTGATCTGTTCATTTAACTTGCATACAAATACAAATTCTAGCATGGCAAGGCAAAAGGAGAGTCACAATACCAGATTTAAGCGCATCGGCCACTGCATCTTCTGGTGTTTTAGCGTATTTTTGCTCAACATGTAAGACGTTGACGGCATCACAATCAGACGTGATGTAACTATATTTTTTCAACAATGACCTTGCATAATTTTGTTTCTGAAATAATTTTCATTCCCATCATTTGAACATTTATTTTATCTTATTACCCGTAGAAGCCCCACTCTTGTCTGAGCGTCTTAGTCAAGAGATCGTGATGTGCACAGCTTGGGATTCCATTAATTTCGTTGTAAGAACACATTATCCCACTAGCATTTCCTTCTTGTACGCAACTTCTGAATGGAGGCTGGTACGTATCTGCCATGTCCTGCAATGTGACCTGCGCCAAGAAAATGGTGCTTGCACGTAAATGACACGGCAGAGAATTTCATTTAACACAAAAACCTTAAAACACACGTTATACATCAAGTTAAAACAACTGGGATATGGCCATAAATTAAAAAAATCATAAGTAAGTACAGAACGGAACAACCCGATTTCCCGCCTCTTTTTATGTTATTAAAAAAAAAAAACTATTCAAAGACATCAGGTTCTTAAACCATTGCATGTCACTTACTATAGCGTTAAATCTGAACCTATTCACGCCATTCCAATTGTCCAAGTCGTGGGCAGTATAATGCTTGCAACAAGCTGAAGCTTGAAGATGGTCACCAAGGGTCGACTCTCCTTCAAAAGAGTCCCCCTGAACTCCTCTGACAAATGACGCTCCATACTTCCCTTCAACCAATGGATCTTCTCCAGGTGTTTCTTGCCCTCTTCCCCATCTAGGGTCTCTAAATATGTTGACGTTTGGTGCCCAAAATCCCAAGCCTGTAACTTGTCCAGCATTGTATAAGGCTCTTGCTTCTTTACCAGCCGCCTTCAAGAATCCATTCGCAAATGAATAATCACAAGAGGAGGAAAGAAAAGAAAAGAAATTCCAGACACACCCACTTACTTTTACAATTGTACTCCCAACTCCATTTTGAATGTCATGACTTTGAATGTTGACCTCTGTTTTTGTTTTTTTAATGAATTGAAGTGACAAGGCTGAATCTTTTGCGTGCGGAAATGAATAAGAAAAAATATAGCTATGGATGTGTTTTTTTTTATAAATATATAAAAATAATATTTTTATTTTTTAAAATTTATTTTTGATATTAATATATTAAAATATTTAAAAATACTAGAAAAATTAATTTTAAAAAATATTTAAAACATGATAAACCACATCCCAAACATACTTATGTTTGGTATAGCGTTTTAGAAGTATTTTAAAAAAAATTTAATTTTTTTATTTTGAATTAATATGTTTTTGATATTTTTAAATTATTTTAATATATTAATTTTAAAAATTATTTAAAAAAATATTATTAATATATTTTTTTAATAAAAAATATTTTAAAAAATAACTATAACTACATTTCGAGAGTTGCTCGACTAATGAAAATATTATTTTTTCAAAAGTTGTTTGATATATACTTGAATATTACAAAAATTAATTTATGTAGTTATTTACGAGCTATAGTGTCCATGCCAAAAGGTGGTTTACTCACTCTACTACACTAGACAGACTCTCTTCTCAAGAAACATCTCTCTCTCTCTCATACAATGCCCCTGTTTCGCTTCCATGTTTGGCTGCTGCGAAAATCACTGCAACAAGAAAATAAAAACTGTAAACATATTTTATTTCCTACGCTACTTTTTTTTATTTTATTTTTGAAATGCTGAAAGTAGTTGCTGTAGGAGGCTTAAGGGCTATAGGTGTTCTTTTTGTTTCCTTCCATTTTCTCAGCAACCAAATAAAAAGAAAAAGAAGATTTTGTTCGTTTTAATTTACTTTTCAAATCATTAGGATCATAGTGGAAGGCAAGGCTTAAGTTTGATTTTTTGTTTCGCTTTGCTTGTTTGGTTTCTGAGAAAGTTCAGAAAGAAAAGAATAAGGAAAGGAAAATTGTTGAATGTGTGTTTCTGCTTATATTTCACCCTACTTGTTAAAAAAACTAAATGCTGAGATATATATGGGATCTATGGTCGAAAACAACATTATATTTATGTATTCTTAGGATGGGTGGAAACAAAATAAAATAAATTTTTGGATTAAATACATGTTATAATCTACACTACAAACATTAAAAAATCATGAATGTTATTATCATTACAGTATGTTATTGTATCTTGTCCAATTGTCTATCAATATAAAATAAAAAAAATTATCCAGTGCAGTTCAATGTACACCAAATTATGTGTCCAATTTAATGTAGTGTAATTAATCCTGTCCGGCATGCCGACATCTACCTACCATAGCTAAAATTTATTTGCCCTAGACTGAACCTGTTCTAAGATCTTTTATTGGGGCATTGACTAAAGCTTGTTTCCCAGTTCCCACATATTCTACGACACGCAGTCATACTATATATTGTGTTCTATGAAAAAGGTTGTTCCAGTGTGACTGTTCTTTCCATGAATCTGAAATCTGCAATCCATTGATGGAAGCCACAATACGCAAACAGAAACATAGCATGTAACCGCAATCTCGTGTTTTGAGAATCATTGCCGACTACCACAACATAATAGTGATTAATTTGGTATAAAAGAATCTTGATACTTCTTCCATCACCATCAAACGATGATCCATCAGGTGACGTGACAAAGACTAAGGAATAGGAATCCAAGAACAAAGAAATAATTTTCTAAGTTAATCCAAGAACAAAGAAATAATTTTCTAAGGAAGTAATCACATAGAAATTCTAATTCTAAGCTTTGGTACTGAATATCTTCTAATATTCTACCTTTAAAACAAGGTTACAACTCTGTTAAATAGGTGTTATACCAATATTTACAAGATTTAAATAATCAAAATTTAAATTTAAATGTAAAAATAACAAATAACCAAAAATAAAATTAAAAATTCAAGATCAACTAAAAAAATAATAAAATTGATAAAAATAACTTATAGGTCTAATTTGAAAGTCTTTCGGATTCTATCTAGTTAAAACAAATCAACATCTTACAAAATTGGGCTTAAAAAATTTATTAAAGGAATTTTCATTTGATTTGAAGGCCACATCAAAAGTTATGGGTTTTTCCATCAAATAAGTCATTTAGTAAAAAGCATGTTTTGTTTTTCTTGGACTTGGACTTGTTCATATTGTCTAATTATATTTATGCTAAATTATATATATGGTCCAAATACAGTAAATTTGTATCTAATTGACCAGAGCCTTTTACATTAGTCTTCACAAATTGAAAAAAAATTCATCTTTAAATTTTAATCATCTACTAGATAAAGAGGTAAATGTTAAACATTGAAAACATCAAAAATCTTTAAATAACTAGAAAAAAAAAAGTCATTAAGCATTATCATTTATTTTCTGTAGCACCTCACAAGGACCAATATTCTCTCAATATTTTCTCTCTCTAAGCTTCTTATATTTTTCCATAAGAAATTAATCATGAGCTAGAATTACCTATATTGAGTCTCCAACTTTAAAAATGATTTTTTCATCCACCCCACAAAACTACATTACACCATACACTATCATAATACTTTTTGCCTGTAAAAAATAAAATAAGATAATGTGTATCCATAATTATCTCACCATTTCACTCTATCTAGGTCAATTTATATAGCCTAGGATGACTATTTGTTTTGAGCTGTGATTTTTTTACTAGTTTTACTAATAGAATGTTCTTACAACTACAATGTTAATGATTAGATTGCACACTTTATCTTTAATGATGAACGTCGAATGAAAAATGTTAATGGACAACCAATCTTAAACTAAATTACACTTAGGAGTTAAGAAACTCTTTCAAATGACTAATATAGCACCACCATTTTCACATAAAATCTCATTTCACTAAACTTTTCTACATGTATTCTTCTTTTATCAACATATATTATTTGAGAGAATCTATAACTTATGGATTCAATAAAATAATACTCCTTCTTACCACATATATAACATTAAGATCTAAAAGCAAAATCAAAACTCTAACCTATAGTTTGCTAAAAAGTAGGTTTAGATTGACTGGTTGTTCACAAATTATTGATATATATATATTCTTGGTATTCTGATCAATTTCAAACTTGTTATTCTAGATAGTCCGAAAACACTTATTGGTTTTCCTATTTTGTTGTTTCTGTACGACTTTCTAATAGGTTTCTACAATTGACCATAATAACTGCTGACAAAGCAAGTTTTATATAGACTTTCATAATCCATTCAAGTATTGTGTCATCAATTGCTCCTTCATTCCTAAAACATTATTCTTGGCTACCAATTCATATAACTCATCGATATACTTATTAACAAGCCTTGCCCCTTACCTTAATAGAAGGAGTCATTGGTATAGGATTTTCGTATGCCTAAAAGAAAAAAAAAAAATCTTTCATCTTCTTCCTCATCTTTTCTAAGTCATTGATCTTTGATTTTCCTCTCTCTTTCCAGGTCCGTTTTAATTGTTCCCATTAAGAAAAATCTTTCTTCTTTAATGTGATGGTGATCGTTATCTCTATCATATATTCCAAGACCTTCTTGTTTTAAGAATTCTCTCCACTTCATTATGTTATATTAGCTTCAACACAAAAAAAAATCCATTAGAGGTTCCATTAGGTCTAATCACAAGACTTAGAGTAAAAAGGTTTACTGAGGCAATTAATAGACTTCTTCAAGATGTATAAACTAAACATATCATGAAGAACAAGCTTTGATTAATTTGATTTATGTGTCAAGAAAGCTTGTAGGGGAGTATCCAAACATAACAGAAAGATTGGAATAAGAACATTTTAAGTTCATTAGTTTTGACCTTTAGCTACTGTTTTGGCCATAACTAGAGCTACAAAATGAATTTTGATGCAATTTTAGTTGCATTGAAAAATAGATATCATAACTTTCTAATTATATATGATAGCCTATTAATTCATCAAAAATATAGAGAACTATTCATTTAAAGTTGAACTTTAATTCTACTAACAAATTAAAAATTTTGACTTTGGTTTTGTTTTAATTAATTGGGCTATTTTTTATCTATATTTTAGTTAATTTTAAGGCCCACAACATTTAAAGGTTTATTTAGGTTAGGTTTTATTTTTTTAATTTAGTTATTTTGGGACTTTAATGTGTTAAGGCCTATTTATCAAGTTTGAGGTCATTAAGTCAAGTTAGGGTTAACTTTCCACTATATAAACCAATTACTAACATTATTTTTTAGTTTATGTTATTTTCTTTAAAGTTGTCGCATATTATGTGATTTGTTTCTCTTTGTATAGTTAAGTGATTTCCATACTAAGTTCTTAATTGAACATACAAATCCTTCGAATAATTGATCAACTTTGTTATAATTTATATATACTTCTTATTCATGTCTTGTTATAGGCATAGGGTTTCAATTGTATATAACTTTAGTTCTTAAGGCAAGGTTTTCATTGGATCGAGTTACAAACTTTTCTTCACATCTCAAATTAGCAATCTAAAGGGCAAATTCGCTTTAATTTGGTATCAAAGCACAACTAGTTTCAAGTTATTTCTCTTTAATTTTTGTTGTTACAAGTAATGTTCTTTAGATCTCACCATATCTAGGGTTTGTTTTCTTGTTTTTCTTGGTTCTTTTCTCTCTAGGGTTTCATCTAATACAAAAAAAAAAAAACAGAGAGAAAGAGAGAAAAGATTTGTAAAATCTCTTATAATAAAAAAAAATACCAAAATAGTATAAAGAAAAAGGGATTAAGGTTGAATACTAAGATTGGCCTAAAAAGCTTAAGGTGTATAAATGAAATAAGCTCTTTTTTTAAATAGAGAGAGGGAGAGAGAGAGAGATTAACAATTGTCTCTTGAAAAAAAAAAGAGTTATCACTTTAAAAAAAAATAAAAAAGGGGGGAAAGGGAGAACTTTCTGTGACCTCTTGATTTTTTTAGAGAGAACACATCAGCATAGAGAACTAAGAGAAAGAGAGATCAGTATTAAAAGAAATTAAGTAC